CACAATTGAAAGTAACATTTTATTGTTTATATAGTGCTCGATTTATAGTAATTTGATCTTTGTTATTTGAGTTTTTTGAAACTATACATGATAGTGTCCAGTAACATTTTTTCACTGTTCTACTGTTTCTTGAGAATAAGGTTAAAATACCACTATCATTTATTTTCATATTTAAAGAAAAGCATCTTAATGTAGCTCACAGTACAATTTACTTAATAATGACAATGTCTTATTGAGTGCAATTTATGCAATCAACTTTACTACTGCATTCATATATGATAATGCATAAATTAATCTGAACAAAAGATTACTTAAAATTTAATTTTCCTTAAATGGTAACACTATTTAATTCTGAACTTTTCCTTCAGTTTAAGCCACAAGATCAAAACCAAATCAACAGTTTTTGGTTAATTATGAAAGGAAAGCTTGAACTAAGACAAATCAACGTTCAGTTAACAGGGTATAAGTAACCAAATGCATACCAAAGCACCAAATGTGGCAGCCTGTTATTTTGCATAAAACAATGACATTACAGTCAAAAGTCGTTAATCCGGACTCGTCGGGACTTCGGCGATTCCGGATTATCGATTTTTCCGGATTATAGATCATCAGTTTAAATCTCGTAAGATGGCATGCAGAAATTCTAAAATTAAAAATATGAAACCGTAATTTATGAAATAAAGAACAATTATTATCTAAAGGGTATCAAAATTTGCAAAAAGAAAAAGCTTAATATTTATTTGTTTACTTTATTAAACATTTCTTTTAATGTAAGTTGTTTAAGTTTTGCTTCGTTTCATGTGATAATACTTTCTCTTTAATTCTATTAAACAGACATAATTTCTTGTTTAGTTACAAAGTTCCGCTGTTCAAGTCCTATAATTGCTGTGTTGAGAATACCGACTAATTTGTCAATCGAAATGTTTTCGTTTTCAATAACCTCTGGGTCACTTTCTTCACTATCGGAAGCGAATTATAATGACCAGGAACTTGTTTTAAATCATATCAAAGAACGGAGCATATCGAGATGAAATACTACATTTGGTAAGGAATTATAAGCCAAATAAAAACATCTGCGCTGAAGATAAGGATAGTGCTGACAAATCAACTTCCAATTCATTACGTGCCCGCTGCGGCGCGGTCCCCCCGCCGAGCAGCGTGAAATTGATAAACAGATTTCGGATTTCAAAACATACTTTCGCTTTAGATCCTTTACATATTAACAAATATATATCGGAAATTCTATTTGATATAATCGAAAGTTTAAGCTTACTTTTATAAAATTGCTCTTACAGTCTGCAAAAAATAATAAGCCGGATCCAATTCGAAAATTAAGGAACAACGCAATCATCAACATTAACTGAAATAGATAATTAGATAATTTTAGCTTATACGTCCATTATACATAAAACGCGCACGCGAAAACGTATTCTGCACTTGCGCACACTGATATGCGCAGTCGTAAAAGGTCTTACGCGCACGCGTAAACGCCTATGCGCATGTGTCAATGCGGCGCATGCGCAGAAAGTTTTTAGTTTTGATGTCCGGATTATAGATCATTCCGAATTATGGGTGTCCGAATTAACGACTTTTGACTGTATTTAGAATAAGAGGGAATTTTTTCTCCTAAATTTTCAGTTTCTTAAGCAGATGATATGGCAATTGCCAGATATCAATACTTGCAAGTTAATCCATGTAGCAAATTTACTGCTCCTGCTACAGAATGCATTGAGCAAAATGGCAAACTAAACATCAGTGCAGAACTAGCCACCACTATACACTTCGCGTCAAGCTAACTAGACAATACATACAAGGCTAGAAGTCCTGAATCGAATCACAGTTTCTTCCCCCTTTTATTCAAGTTATGAGCACTCATAAATGCCTAATTTCTTCAGTTTGCTATATATTTAGCAGTGGCTTGTCAAACTTCCTGCAAATTGTATGATGAAATTCATGTTGAAACTGGTACTTATTTTAATTCTGGAACAAACAACCTGCATTTTTTCTATTTCAAATAGAGTGACGCTAGTGTGTTGCACTGATGGCGTGACTGGTGTTGTTTATGAAAGGTTGTGCATGACTTACTGCATATAAAACAAAAATACATTTAATACAAATCTATGAGAATTTCTACTATAAGACATAACAACACTGAAGGCATAGAAATGATTATTGTAAGTTATTATCCTCATAATGTGAGGATCTTGCTAGTGGCAAGAGTTAAGAGTTTAAGAGCATTCCGAGTTCTTACCTTGTCTGAAACAGTTTGCAGATTGAATTAGTCACACCCTCTTATTTTTTTAAGTTGCATTTACGTTCTCTGATTCATTATAGTTGAAACAATATCGGAGGAGAAACATGATCACTGGTCCACCAGACTCCCTGAAATCAAAAGGTTTTGGTGATAGACACAGTGCAAATCACTGAAATCCCTTGACATGGGCCATGAACTTATGATTCTTGTAATATCAAGTGGAGCTGTAACTGAATGAATTATTGCTTCTGCAATGTCAGAGCCTGTCATCTCACATCTCATAACAGCTCAAACACTGCAACCTGTGGGGGTCCTACATGTGAATTTCTTATCTTTGTGTGATCTGCCACACAGTATCCATGGAGCAACTCAAAGCTTGCAAATTTGAAAGAATTCTTGAATCTAGCACACAAGAGCACTTTTACCCTCCCTATCAATAGAGAGAATTCCACTCCCATATCAAGGCCTCAAGTTCTGTTCCCAAGGCCAAGCGACTTCTCACGTCACACTTTCAATTCTTCCCATAGATGTTGTTACGAGCAAGCCTCCACTAAAACACATGAAAGTGCTGAATAGCAGTAAGCCAAAAACAACCACAAATAATACTTTACATTTCTGAAATTCATTTCATTAGCCTTTCTCAATTTGCAATAACAAAAGCTGAATCATGTTTTTTTTTAATTAAATTGGGCAATACGATTTTTTGCACATTTGTATAAAAGCTGTTTAAATCATATTAAACCAAAATAATTTCCTTTATTCTAATAATCAATAAAATGTTAGGGTCATAGATTTTCCCAAATTATTAATTATTTCAAAGTAATTATGGTATTTACTCCCATATCTCCCCCTTTACCTACTATTTTATTGCATGAAAACCAGGAAGAGAAAAATAAATGCTGAATTTTATTTCTAAAGAAGCCTGCTTAAATGATAATCATAGCATATTAAAATGTCCACTTTTACATCATGTATTTCAAAGGACTTATTAATTTCAATAATAGATTATTTCACTGTGTAATGACCATTTATGTAAAAAACATGAAACACATACAGGAAATTTTTAACATTTAATTAAATCTCTTATTTGATGTTTACACTTTAATTTTAGATTGCAATCACTATAAATGTAAAGATTGTGACTAAAGAATGAACAAATGATAGAATTTGTTTTTGGAATATGAATTGAAATATATATATGAATTTGAACACATTTTTGACAGGAAGATGTATGTACGATTTGTGTTATGAAAACATTGGTTATTTAATTTTAGCACATAACTCACTGTTCTTTATTTTATATATTTTGCAAAAGCAATGTTGCATTTAAATTGATTATTATTTTCCTTATTAGAAGAAAGTCAAGGCACTGATTAAATTTGGATCTGTTTTCAATCAGATTTAGCATGATAACACAAAAATAATTTAACAAGAACATTCATAACAACAATCTAAGTAAAACTTAAAAACTAAACAGACATGCTGAACACAAGAACAGAAACTTCTTGTCAACCTCCACCAACATGAAAATATGCTCTTGGTAAGATACTGGAAGACTGCCCCATGACAACTGATTTCCATTCTTTTGGTTGGCGATAATCAAGCATTCTGCTACGTTTTCAAAGAGAGTAGAAGTAGAGTTACGGTTACTGCAATCTCGCCAAATATGCTGAAAATGGAATCTGTTTCTATTCATCACCAAATGATTCTCATAAATATTATTACCTTTTTAAATAAAAATTTAGGGATGAAATTTTCTTTTTGTCAGCTCTTTTCTGATCAGACTTTTTTTCCCAACAATATTCATATTTCATTATTTAATTTCTAAAATACAACTACTAAAAATGACAGAAGTCTATTCTCTACTGGATACACCTACTTTTTATACCGAATATTCTCAAGTTAGGTTGATTTACAGATTTCTAACCTATCAAATTCATGTAGCAGCAACTGAATGAAAAGACACAAATATTTTCAGTAATGTTAAATGAAATCACCAGTTTTATGCTCTCTGAGCAATCTGAAATTAATCCGATAAAATGTATTTTTTATTTGCTTTTATCATTTATTCTGGATTTAATAAACTAGTCATTCTTTTCATGCAGCATTATGTAGCATTCAGGTTGCCACCATCTAGTTAGCTAACCCATTAATAGAAGTGTACCAAAGACAATATAATAATAAACAACTTATAATTTTCAAATTCACCAAACTTTTATGATGATCAAGTGAAAGATAGATGTGAAAACCGTGAAATGAATATAAAAATAAGAGGTAAAGAAGTGTAAAACTGTTTTACACAAGATTTACTACTGAATTTCTTCATTGTAAATTTAATTGAATTTATGCTTTCATTTGATGAATTCTAATTAATTTGCACATTACTGTATACTGTTATATGAACATCAACCATATGAAGCATTAGCAATTATCTGCAGTTTTACATAAGATAAAATTTTGAATATATTATAGGTAAATTTGAAATATATAATTGTATTTAAAATTTATATATAAGTTAATTTGAAATATATAATTGAATTTAAAATTTTTTTCAAACAAATTTATCTGCTCAGTTAAATTAAGAAAAAAAATTCAACTGTACATTTAAAAATTTTAAAAATAATTATCTTATTCAAGCAAACAATAAAAATAATTATCTTTTCTAATGCTACAGAACAAGTGTTATTATAATTTAAGTTTATAAGTTGCAAAAGCACAATTGTAATATGAGATGTAAAAAAATTACCTGCACTAAATTTTCTTTTTTTATAATACAATAGATTAATTCAGAATCTGGTGACCACTATAAATAAAAAATACACAAATTAAATGAAACACAGGGTATATAAAACTATAAAATATACAAAATATAAATTACTAAGAAGCTGTATAATATAAAGAATAAAAACAACGTGAAATGTTAAGGAAAAATTAAAGTTTTTCTTATTTAACTTAAAAAAGATCAAACGTGCTATAGAGCTCCTCACTTTTATCCTGTTAAATGAAATGTCGAGGAACCTAGTGAACTAATAAGCGAATAATCGCTTAGTTCTAAGGAACTGAAAGCGTAAACTCAAAAAGGGTTAATTACCCTTTAGTCACTCAAAATAAGATTAACAGTCGGCCCCTTCCTTCGAGCACATAGAAAAGCCTCTACTTGGGCTTAAAATCAAAAGTAAGAAATAGAACTAACTAATGATTAACTAAGAGATTTAGCTGAAGCTAACACAATTCTAAAGTACTAGTTGGCTCGTAATCTTAAATTAGTCGGTGAACTATGAAAAGGCACGTAATATGGTTAAGCGTAACAACATACATAACAGACATAGCCTAAAGACAAACACATGCCACTCAGGAATCCTAACAATCTCCTCTCTCTCAAAGCCAGTTAAACTTGACTTAAATACTATTCTCTTTCGCATTTGCATTCAACGCGATTCTAAAAACTCATTCTGGTAGGGAGTTGTAAGTTGAATTGAATTAGACAGCCCAGATTCACTAAATTAAAATAACTGTTATAAAATTAAAGTATACCTTACAGTGCTATAATAATTTAATTATTATCTATTATTAGAAAATTTTTCATAAAAATTTTGTAATTCAAGCATTTATAATTCTTTTGATAAAATTTGCTCCTAAGAATAAAGTTCATTAAAAAAACGGAAAAGAACCTAAAATAAAACAAATCTAAAAGAACTCATTGAACTTCTCATTAATGGTATTTTCATCACTAAAACAGAAAAATTCCTCTCTTTCGCATCAATCTGATAATTACATAAAATATTTCACATTAAAAGAAGCTAAGCATACAAGTGCTACTGTAATGATTAATTATAAAATTAAAAATTTTTATACTTAATGACAAAACAAAAAATAATTTATTTCATCGCATTATAATCATAAAATAATAAACAATATTACCAAAACTAAGTTACTTTTATTTTGTTTAATTTATATAAAAATAAATGTTCTTTTGAATAATTTTAAGACTACAGGAAATTACACATAAATTTAGGAAAAGATGGAAAGAGAGAAGGGAGAAACTAATTTTATTGTAGTTCACCTCTATTTTCTACAGCAGTTTTACATCTTTATACAATCCTAACCCTCCTCCCAGAATTTATTCCCAAAAGCCTTTAGTCCTCAAAAAGGCCTATGGGAATTCTATATTTCTTTTACTACAATTGAAAAATCCTCCTTCCATTTTGCACCTAAATTTTTTTCCTCATAGTCTCTGTGGCATGGTGTAATTTCCTTCTGTACGCACAGAAATATTGAATGAAAAAGGATTTATAGGTTACTCTGAACCTTCTTTATTTAGATTTGATGGCAGCCCAACACAAACCAGTCCATAAATTTTAGCCATGTTTAGTTTTTAAAGATCCTCATTTTTTAAAGAAATATTCCAGATTTTTAAATTCATCAGTTCTAATGAGAATACACTAGCAAAGTAAAGCACTGTGGTTTTACGCAATTTCCGAATAAGCTATCCGTATGAATTGAAATAATTCTTGCATTTAAACTTGTATTCCAAATTAAGATTTAACGTGAAATTAATGTAGATAATTACTGAGAGAATTAGATTTTATAGCATAGATTACGTCAGATGAGATCACTTGGGGTCACGTGATAAGAATCGGCGAATCAGCTTTTTGAACCATAAAAGCATAATAAATTCTTGAATTAATATCTTTTTACAAATTTTATAAAATTTTTAAATGTTTATGCCTTTAAAATAAAAAATTCTTAGAACTAACACTTGTTAACATTTTTATGTGTATAATCTATGTTGTCGCCAACAAAGTCTGCTTGGCGAGATTTGCGCCAGTGAAACGGAAAAGTACCAAAATTTCCATATTTTCTTGGCTGTATGCTAATTTCCTTATTCTATATTAGTTTTAAATTTTTAACTTGAAATCTTGCCTAAAATTGAACGCCGAACATCAGGTGTGCCCAAAATAGGATCACTAAGAGACTAGGACCAGACCAACAACTTTATCATTACTTCTGTGCATATCTCCGGTCAGGTCATTCACAATAGAAAGGTATGTCCACATTTGTGTTTTATTTCCTGTTTTTATCTTTCTTTTTTTCGGGGGGGGGGGAGGTTTGGTTATCAACTAAGAAATTGTTGGGGTGATTTTCTAAAGGTCAAGGGTAATATTATCAGTTATCTGTTTCGCTTTTCACTAGAGCAATTTTCTTTTTCTCTTTTGCTTTCATTCAAAGAAGTTTTGTTAGAACTATGTTTTGATAGTTTTGAGTTGTAGATGTTTACCTAATTTTATTTTACAGTTTATAATTTCTAATTGTAGATATAATACTAATTTTTTTTTTATTATTTTCCAACTGAATCGAAGAGGGCTGACCATTTCTGAAGCACTGAAGGCTAATGCTACATGAACTGCCTTCAGATAGTGAATCTGATACGAATCAAGGTACCCGCACAAAACATGCAATGTTGATAGTTTATAATAATATTTTTTTATTACAGTCAAGAGTCGTTAATCCGGACTCGTCGGGACTTCGGCGATTCCGGATTATCGATTTTTCTGGATTATAGATCATCAGTTTAAATCTCGTAAGATGGCATGCAGAAATTCTAAAATTAAAAATATGAAACCGTAATTTATGAAATAAAGAACAATTATGATCTAAAGGGTATCAAAATTTGCGAAAAGAAAAAGCTTAATATTTATTTGTTTACTTTATTAAACATTTCTTTTAATGTAAGTTGTTTAAGTTGCTTCGTTTCATGTGATAATACTTTCTCTTTAATTCTATTAAACAGACATAATTTCTTGTTTAGTTACAAAGTTCCGCTGTTCAAGTCCTATAATTGCTGTGTTGAGAATACCGACTAATTTGTCAATCGAAATGTTTTCGTTTTCAATAACCTCTGGGTCACTTTCTTCACTATCGGAAGCGAATTATAATGACCAGGAACTTGTTTTAAATCATATCAAAGAACGGAGCATATCGAGATGAAATACTACATTTGGTAAGGAATTATAAGCCAAATAAAAACATCTGCGCTGAAGATAAGGATAGTGCTGACAAATCAACTTCCAATTCATTACCCCCCCCCCCGCCGAGCAGCGTGAAATTGATAAACAGATTTCGGATTTCAAAACATACTTTCGCTTTAGATCCTTTACATATTAACAAATATATATCGGAAATTCTATTTGATATAATCGAAAGTTTAAGCTTACTTTTATAAAATTGCTCTTACAGTCTGCAAAAAATAATAAGCCGGATCCAATTCGAAAATTAAGGAACAACGCAATCATCAACATTAACTGAAATAGATAATTAGATAATTTTAGCTTATACTGTCCATTATACATGAAAACATGCACGCGAAAACGTTTTCTGCACTTGTGCACACACATATGCGCAGTCGTAAAAGGTCTTACGCGCACGCGTAAACGCCTATGCGCATGTGTCAACGCGGCGCATGCGCAGAAAGTTTTTAGTTTTGATGTCCGGATTATAGATCATTCCGAATTATGGGTGTTCGAATTAACGACTTTTGACTGTATTTTCCAAATGGATCAAAGAGGGCTGACTATTTCTGAAGCACTGAAAGCTAATGCTACATGAACTGCCTTCAGATAGTCAATCTGATACGGATCCTGGTATGTGTGCAAAACATATGCAATGTTGGGTTGTGCTTTTTTAAAGATGTCATAGTCTCTCACTGACCAAATGGTGAAGGCCATGATCATCCAACTGCAGACTGAAACATGTCAGCATATAATCTTCACAAAACCTAGTGCAGAGTTGCACTAGGTAATATTGGGAACAAAAAAAAAAAAAAAAAAAAAAAAGAAAGAAAGAAAGAAGAAAGCTGTCTCAAGACCTTTCAATTTTATTAAATGAAAATTAAAATTATGTTTCACTTAAATTTATTGGTTTGTAAACTTAATATTTTGTATCACTGTGACACATGTAATCACAAATCAGATTAGGAAGCAAAGATTAAAAATTAAATCAGTTTCTCTAAAATTTTATCGCCCACTCTTCCATAAAAAAAATTCATGAATTTTCTACCTAAAAAATAAGTTATAAAAACAAATGCACAGATTAATCTGATTTCAAAAAGGATATTAAGAATGATAATTATGAAAACTAATAAATAGAAAAGGCAGTGCTAATAAAGTGGTCTCTTCCAATATCAACTTTTTTTTCTTTCATGCATTTTACTACATAAAAATCACAAATTGAGAAAGAATCAGCTCTTTAAATAAATACCACATATCACTTGAAAAAACTTTCAGTTCACATATACATTTTTCATCTAGAAGAGAAATCGAGAGTGTGAAAAGCACAGTTCCAAAAACTCTCTGCCTAAGCTCTATACAACTTAGAACACTCAAGAAAATGGAACCTAAGGATCTTACTCGTCTCATATGAGATACTGCAGTCATGAATGTCTGGAATGCTAATCCAAGCAGAGTGAGTAGTCACCCCTACTAACCATCATATTTAAAGTAATTAAATACATTTATTTAATTAAAGAATACTGATTTTAGAGACAGTATTTTGATTTGAAATGTGCACTAAATTTTAAATTTGCACTTGAGAAAAAAATTAAACAGCTCCTTCAAACAAACTTCATATCCTCTTCACTTCTGGTTAGCTGTAAGAAAAGGAAATTTTAAACCTCATCTTTTCTTTACATGTTAACACTGGGGGGTCCTGCGACAAGCTGACCACTTATTCAGGGCATATGCTCACGCACCCCGGGGCCCACGGTCAAGAAAGGAGATTTCCGGCACCGCAGGCCTTGGCTGTTAC